TTGCAACCCTTGAGTGTCTTCTCTAATACGTTTACGAGGGCTGGAGGATGGAGATGGTGTTGGGGCAGTGTCATAAAGGCTATCAGCGCATGATTCCACCCAGGTTGGCTTCCTTCTCTTTCCAATGACTTGTTTATGAGACACATAGGCAACATCAAGGTCCTTGCCTTTAGACAAACGACCTCTTCCTTGGAAGGAAAATGTAGCTGCCTTGAGTCGAGTTTTTTTCTTGGGAGACATAGGGTTACGTGTGGGGGGAAAAATTGATATTATCAACATTCTATTTTTGATAGTTGAAACCATTCATAGGAATCACTAGATCACATCAACTAATCTAGTAGGTATACTGTCAAACACTTGATTTGTCCCATTCCACCCCTCCTCCTCCAAGAACCACTCCTTTCTTATCATCTACTTGTCACAACAAATAACTATCCTGCTGCCCCACCATCTGCAAAAAATAGGCCTGTGTTGGAAAGGGGGGTCTGGATACCCCGCATCTAGAGTGGATTTTATCCCTCATAAAATGGGCAATAACGAGCCTTTCTCCCGGACCCCATGGACCAATAGAATGTTGTAAAACCTTCCCGGAAATGAAGACCATTGTCCCAGGGTAATAATCCAGTTCGGCCCCAACATCTGCTAATGTCAACTTAGCCTCATGGCCACTGCCTAAACTAATCAGAAGATCAAAAAGAAAGGTGCGCCACCAGAATCTCTGTGTTGATAAAGTTGTACGATTTGCAATTATTTCCAATCCTGAGAAGATCGAGGGCCAATCACAGATGGGTGGTGATGTTCTATCAGAACCTTGAAGTTCCTCAATAATACGAGTGATTGCCAAGGTGCCTGCTTCGAATAGATCTGGAGCCGATACAGCGGTAATGGCATTCCAGAAAGATTCAGTAGCTGATAAAGCAGCTAGCCACTCTTGGACTTCCACAGACTTATAGGAAGCCGAGGTAACCATTGGGTCTTCCAGTCTCTGCAAATGAAATCAAACAAAGTCAAAAGTAGCTAAACAGCCACTAAATTTGGCCTATACCTCGTGTCTTTGCATAAAATATGCTGGTGATACTGTGACTCTGCCTGCTCCAAATTCTCCACCCCCCTCTGGGACAACAAAGCCTTGAGATCGCCAAGACTGTTGGGTGGAGGACGTAATTGTTTCAAGAAGTAAAGTCCGTAAACCCTTAGTGGCTGAGTTCACATATTCCTAATTTAATTTATCAATTGATGAGGGGAATTCCCAAGGAAGAATGAACATACAACCCGAGAAGAAGACAAAATATTTGGCAAGTAAATTGTTAAAATTTTACCTTGCCTGTCCACAATAGTAGCTGGTGCTGAAATTTTACCGATCATAGCTGCAGAAAAGTACTTTGGTAGCTGATTGGTATTAGCGAGGGGACCATCAGATTTAGGTGTAGAGACTTTGGCCATTTCGGCAAATCTGTCAACATCCCAATCCACATAATCTGCAAATGATGTGAATTTAAAACCAGGTGATATCTTGCAGAGTGAAACAACTCACAAGGATTTACCATGGCATGGGCAACTGTCAGTGCAGCTCGATTGATCTCATATTCTGAGATTGACGCAGAAGCATGGAAGTTGACATCACGTGTTGCTAAGCAACTGTCTAGCTCATGTCCAATTCTTAATCTTAAGTGAGACCATTTAATAGAGCGGATCAAATAAGGCCCTAAATATAACCTCTCACCTTGCTTTGTGTAGAAGGTGAGTTTGCAATATCCCCCCTCTGAAAATCCCTGTTGCTGATGATTTTCCCATAATTTCCTTGATCCTTGTGGTCAGAGCTGCTCTCAGCTTGATTGATTGACTCATTTGTTGGTCCATGGTGAGCAAGGAAAATTTTCAACCAGCTCGTTCGGATCAAGACTCAATTTAACTTATATGAAATGATTCCGAAAAAATTGTCCCGCGATCAAATTTGGATATATGAATGGAATCTACTGATGGAAGACTGATTAAATGAAGTTTCCGAAAAAATTGTCCCGCGATCAAATTTGGATATATGAATGGAATCTACTGATGGAAGACTGATTAAATGAAGTCTTGCCCAGATTGTGACATAATTAGTACTGTAATAACTCGCTCAGATGCTGGAAGAGTGAAGACTAATATTGGCAGACTACCACAGAAGAATGAATGATATTCTGAATCTGGGACTACACTGTGGGATCCCTGTCTCAAATAACAGGAGACACTTCCAGCTGGAGTTCAACGCCTTGAGAGACAGCAAGGACTCACTTATTAAGAATGCAATCACAAAAACAGTAGTGTATAATAGTAAATTGGCATCCGGAGGATACCAGGACAAGTAGCAATGACGCCATATGATACAAACTGCCCTGCACCATCAGAAGGCTGACTCTTCCCTTCTGACCATGGAGGGGAGATACCTCTGAGGTTACCTCTGAGGCATATACTGGCTAGCCCGCCCTCAAAACTGTTCGTGTTAAGAGTTCTGCCTCAGAGGTAATACTTCGTTAGCTACACCTATACTGTAGGGTATTGAAAATGTTTTCTTTGTTAACCGAAGAAAACATTCTCAATACCCTGCAGTATAGGTGTAGCCAACTTACCTCTGAGGCAGAACTCTTAACACGAACAGTTTTGAGGGCGGGCTAGCCTCTAAGTGGCCTGTAGGGTATTGAGAATGTTTTCTTCGGTTAACAAAGAAAACATCTTCAATACCCTACAGTATATGCCTCAGAGGTAAGTTAGCTACACCTATACTGCAGGGTATTGAGAAACCCTGCAGGCCACTTAGAGGCTAGCCCGCCCTCAAAACTGTTCGTGTTAAGAGTTCTGCCTCAGAGGTAAGTTGGCTACACCTATACTGCAGGGTATTGAGAATGTTTTCTTCGGTTAACAAAGAAAACATTTTCAATACCCTACAGTATAGGTGTAGCTAACGAAGTATTACCTCTGAGGCAGAACTCTTAACACGAACAGTTTGGAGATACCTCTGAGGTTACCTCTGAGGCATATACTGGCTAGCCCGCCCTCAAAACTGTTCGTGTTAAGAGTTTTGCCTCAGAGGTAATACTTAGTTAGCTACACCTATACTGTAGGGTATTGAAAATGTTTTCTTTGTTAACCGAAGAAAACATTCTCAATACCCTACAGTATAGGTGTAGCTAACTAAGTATTACCTCTGAGGCAGAACTCTTAACACGAACAGTTTTGAGGGCGGGCTAGCCTCTAAGCGGCCTGTAGGGTATTGAGAATGTCCGTCAGTCCAAAATATGCTAGCAGCCCAGGCAGATGGTGACAATGACGCCATATGATGACTCCCCTCTGTGGTCAGAAGGCAATTTCAAAGAAGAATCAACCTTCTGACCGGGAAGGGAAGTTTGTATCATATGGCGTCATGGCTACTTGTCCTAGTGTTCTGCCACCATCTGCCTATGCCAATAGTATATTTTGACTGGCAGACAATAATCAATGATAGCGTCCTTCAGCATGTCAATGGTGAGCCGCATCAAGGCAGAATTGAGATCTACATAACACATTATCTATCTAAGACATGTAGTAGATAATAGTTGCTTTGGTCTGTGCAGCGTTTGATTATTATACACTACTGTGCTTTTGCGCTTGCTTTCTTAATAAGGCTCTTTGCTAATATACACACGGTCACGTGACCTTTTCAGCCGGCAGCAAATAAAGTGCATCCATCAACATACATTTTCAAATACAAAGTACGAGTGACAATAAATTTTACTACAAGTAAGCAAACAAATAAAGTAACAAATACAAAAGGGGAGGCGAGACTTCAATGAGGGGGCCCTCCTCACCAAAGCCTCAACACTCCAGGTGAAAATGTATGTAGCAAATATATATATAATACAATACAAATTTGTCCTGTAGAAACGTTAGACCTGAAATTTAAGACAAGATTAACACTTAACTAGAGAGCACTTGCCACACAAAAGTACCGGCAGGTTCAGCAGTCTAGAGAACAAAACAGATCAGTTAAGGTCATCAGGAATTGAGCGCTTACCACCATTAAAAAGTTGGAGCAGGCTATTAAAAAGTCGGAGCAGGAGCCACTGACAAGTGGCATGCACTGCGATACCGCCAATTCCAAGAAGCAGGAGCCACTGACAAGTGGCATGCACTGCGCTGAGCCCCAGTCCCAATAAGCAGGAGCCACTAACAAGTGGCATGCACTGCGATACCGCCAATTCCAAGAAGCAGGAGCCACTGACAAGTGGCATGCACTGCGCTGAGCCCCAGTCCCAATAAGCAGGAGCCACTAACAAGTGGCATGCACTGCGCTACCGCCAATTTCAAGAAGCAGGAGCCACTGACAAGTGGCATGCACTGCGCAACCCCCAGTTCCTATAAGCAGGAGCCACTGACAAGTGGCATGCACTGCGCAACCCCCAGTTCCAATAAGCAGAATACTAAATAGAACAGACATTAGCAAACGGACGCGAGAGAAGAAGGACTTACGTTTAAGGAACTGGAAGGCGCTCAAAGGGAGGAGTGGCTCTAACTGCGCCATCCAAAGTCCTGAAATTCATAAGTATAATACTAAATAGAACAAACGTTAGCAAGCAGACGCGGGAAAAGAAGGACTTACGTTAGGGAACTGCCAGGAGGGCGCTCAAAGGGAGGAGTGGCTGTCACTGCGCCATCCAAAGTCTCCAAAATCCTAAGTACAACAGACATTAGCAAGCGGGTGTGAGCAATTAAGTACTTACCTTGAGAAACCTCAAGGGAAAGAGAGTATATGTAAATGAAAACAGTTAGTAAGTAGGCGCACCACCAAAGTTGAACTTACTATGTTTGAAGGGCGACTGTAGGGTAGTACCTTTGAATTCTTGCAGCTGCAGTCTGCAAGAACCCAAAGGAGTACACCGGAAGTCGCCCTGAAGTAACGGCACTGGCAGAAATAAAGGATGAAGGAGAATGATGAAGGTAAGACGAAAGAAGAGATTGAACCGTGAGAACTGATTGTTGTTGTTCATATTCACGTGTCAGTTTGTTATTGTTTGTAAATAGTCATGTGATTATCAACAATGAACTCAACAGCGTCATAATATTGGCTAATCCACAATTCAACGCGTCGCGTGTCAAAAATCCACAAATTCAACACGTGCCAGCGCGCCAGCACGTGTTGAGTGGATTTTTGACACGCAACACGTTGAATTGTGGATTAGCCAATATTATGACGCTGTTGAGTTCATTGTTGATAATCACATGACTATTTGGATCTGTTTGTCACAATCAACCAACGTTCAAACTTGTTCATTTCTTTCTAAGTACATTCAGCCGGCGCTCTCCTCTCTTTGCATCTGTTTGAACTACATAACTGTAAGTGCTATTTGCCGTGTCATCTACTAATTTGAATATATCTATAATAGTCTCTCTTCACCATGGTGAAGTCTAAACAAACCTGCAAGAAGTCCACCGGTGGCACCGCGCCACGAATTGCCTTGTCGTTGCTGGCATCTACTGGAGCGGTCACTGCGCCGGGTGAGCTGAATGTGAGAGAGCCGTCTGAACACAACGAGGTAAGTGATTAGTTACCTACTATTTGCACTAACACGCGTCTTTATTTGCAGTTTTGTCTCATCTGCAGAGACGGTTCTGTAGGGGAAGATTGCCTCTTCCTCTGCAGCACCTGTCCGCGGGTGATGTGTTCAAACTGCATGAACATCCCGCCTGCCAGTGCACACGCGGTGCAGGCCGATGACGTCACGTTCGTCTGCATATCTTGCCATGTTGGCATGGAACGACACGGGCGCGCATCTCAGTCGCCCTATTTTGTAAGTTTTTTCGTTTATTTCATGCTAACTAACATTCACTTCATTTTATAGGGTTTTTACAGGAAGGGGCAACCGCTCCTTCCTTCATTCCTCCAAATTCGTGCTACGTTGGAGGTTTCACTCCATTCCCAACTGTCTTCGGCACCCACGCTCATGCTCCATCTCGTCCTCGTCGACCACGACGTCACCGGCGGCTGTTTCGAACTGGCCTCCGAATTCCTTCGGCCATACTTCCCCAGCGGAGGGTTTGAATTTCGGTCCATCGTGTTCGACATCGGCAATGCCTCAAAGATCGACGAGTACCGGTTGCAGGCGACTGCCATCATCCAGTCGCTGATGAGCTCCAACTGGGCTCGTGTCGTCGTCGCCATCACTAACCACACCGACAACGAGCATGGAGATCCATTTATTGGGTACGAGGGCAACAAGAAGTCATACGTTTCGGCACGCGTTCACTCTGTAAGTGGCATTTTTTTGACTAACATTGTATTTGCTCATTTGACACCAAAGGTTCTCGATGTTCTGCTTTCACCTTGGCATCCCCTGATTCATGGTGCCGCGGAATCATACTTATGGCTGTTTTCGTGTGGCGCGCTCATCAACAACGTCACTTCCTTTTCAGGCTTGCAACAGGCGGTCATAGAGTAAGTCCATTTGATCTTATCTTTGCAAATACTAACTAACCCTAACAGTCATCGCATCACAGCCACTATTGGCTTTAATGCTGTTCGTTTTCAGCCGAGTTTCGCCACCCACCTTTTGCTCGCATTCGCGGAGCTGGTCATCATCGAGTGTTTGCCCATTCACATCGTCTTCCCTGACATGTTGGGCCAGTCCTACAAACTTGGGCGCCACACTGACGTGTTCTTGCTGATGCCTGACAACTCAGGTTCGTTGGCCGTTACCAAGTTCGCCTGGACGCATTCCCAACTTCGCCCCTGGGGTCAGTACCTGCCGGTCCAGTGCCCACAGTGTGGGTGGAGTAACGCCTGGTGTTCTGTCAACATGCACAAAGATTACATCTTTGAATGCAAGAATGGCCAATGTAGGAAAAAGTATGTATTCTCACAACCACCTCATTCCAGGATCCTTTTGCCAGGCAAAAGACCTGGCTCCTGCTGGATTTCGGTTGTCTTGAGGCCCATGCCTAGTGTCCCTGATGAGGATGAGGATTAGGATACAATTATTTTGTCTTAGCTTTTTCGTACATCCCTTCATGTTTCATTTTTCTTCATCTTACTTGATTAGATACCCTCACCGCTCAATGGAAGTATAACGTGTTTTGGATCTTTTTACCTGATGTGAATTTGTCTATTATCTACACTGTCTAACTCCACTCAATGGAAGTATAATGTGCCTTTAATCTTGTTACTTGATGTGAATTTGACCGTCTCAATATATCCAATTTGATAATTGATTCAAGATAAAAATTGCAGGTAGGCTGGTACAGGCGGTAGGAGGGTGGCTAGCCGAAATTAATTTGAACACCCATGTTTATCAACAATAACGTGTGACTTTTCATAAGTCACACGTTATTGTTGATAAACATGGGTGTTCAAATTAATTTCGGCTAGCCACCCTCCTACCGCCTGTACCAGCCTACCTGCAATTTTTATCTTGAATCAATTACGATGTCTACCGACTGGTCTATTGCCTTTAAGCCAATTCTCGACCTTCACTCTAAGGCCATTTTTGCTGCAGGTTCCTCATCTGTTGGAAAGCCTGTGGTGAGGAAGATTCGGAGGGCCATACTAGCTGCTCAAGACGAGCAAGAGGAACCCATTGCCTTGCCTACTTCCTTGAAAAAGGTCACAAAATTCTTATACTGTACATGTATTTAGTTGTCTGATGATATACATAAATGTTACCTACAGGCAATAAAAGAATACTATGCCAAAAGTCTCAAAGACAAGGAAGAGGCAGACGAACGTGAGGCAGCGAGTCGCCCAAGAGAACCATCTTTCTATAAGAAACCCCTGTCTGAGTGGGATGTAGCACAGAAATTATTTAAGCAGGAGATCGACTCATATGACAAGGCCCAACAACAGAGTAAAGGCTTGGAGTATTCAATCAAGTACCGCACTGGGAATGCCAGGGAGTGGTTCAACAACATGACACCTTCACAACAGCAGGAGGTCAAGTTTGCCATGAAGAAATGGAATGAGGAGGGGGCGCCAGAAGAAACTCAGGCAATGTAAGTTTTACTTCAAATCTACAGTTATTCCAGTCTAACACTTTGGCTTGAGATATCGTAAGAATAACCTCAAGAAAACTCTGGAAGATTTTGCAGAGCAAATTCGGCGCACCATGGGTTGTCGCATAGTAATGCTTGTTAGTCATAAGAAAAAAGCTAGTCAGACATTGTCCGTCAGTCTGTAAGTCATCAAATCAACATGGAAATCTCAAGACTAACTAAACTACTATAGACACGAAACTACGCCTCAGAATGCCAAGAAAAAATTTTCTGTGAGCTCGAGTGGTATCAAGGAGTGGGCTGCAAATGGATTTGAATCCTTTGGAGAATGGTCTAAGACTGAATTTTGTACGTGTTTCATTTGATTTTAAATATCATGCTCACTGACTATTAAATTGATAGACCCTTCAGAGGATTCAGACCATGCGGCTTCAGACTGTGAGGATGGACCTGTCTTACCTGAAATCATAGTAGATGATGAGGGGTATGCAAAACTTCCTCTTCGTGATGGTATTGGCCTCAAGGGCCAACACGAATTGATTAGAAGTATCTTTCATACTTCATACAGTAAGATCTAACATCTTCAATATGTGCATGACATTTGATTGACTCAATGGTTTGTAGAAGTCTGCACAGGTGGCTCTAGACCTGTACCTTGGGGCGTGATAACTGCCAGCCCGTCCAATTATTTGGAACCTGGTTCAGTTCCCACAGGATTTGTGGTCAAAGACCCTTCTCATATGAAGACAGAGGAGGTAAATCGTCTATGGATGCATTGGGAACGACGTTCTGCTACAAATCAGAAGCTAGTTGTCTTTATTAAGGCCAAGGATGCTGATATTCGGGTCACTGGGAAGTCCAAGACGAAAGTAGTGAGCACCCTAGACTTAGATGAAGAAGATCAAGGCCGGCCGGCTCCATTTGCCTCTCATTTCACAGAACGTACAACACAGCCGGCCGCTCATGAGACAACACCAGATGATGTTGCCATCAATGACCGATACACATTTTTAGAAACCCTTAGCAAGAATGAAAACTACTTGGAGCTTGTGGACGCCACTAGGGACCTGGCAATATTAGCCAAACAGAATGTTAGTGTCACTTGGTGCTGTTTTCAATTTTATGGCTTATATGTCCAACAGCCAATTTCAGAGCGACACCAAGATTTGCCTACCTGGGCTGACTGGTCTTGGAGCGAAAATTATCTTTCCGAGGACATTCACACCTCATATGCGACATTGATGGCCAGCTTAAACAAGCTACAGACCTGTCCAATCTCAGGGCCATCATCGGCAATGCCAGTAATACTAGGAATTGGGCTCCTCTATAGGGAGTCTAAGCGTGTGATAGAGTATGAGGAAGACGAGGCTGATCCCAATACCCCTTTCTACCTACCTCATTCTGCTATTGATCTACAGTTCTTGGTCGCTCTGGATGAGGCTGTCCGGGAAGTCTTATTCTCAGTTGTTGGTCAGATTGAGAGGCTGAACAAAGAGGGACTCAGTGACGAGGTTGAGGATGAGGAGATGAGGATGGTGGTAGAGAAGGAAAGGCATGAGGTTGAGGAGAAGGATGTTGAGTCAGAGGAGAATGTAGTTGGGGGAGAAGAACAGCAGGAGCAGGAGGTTGAAGAGGTGGTGCAGAAAGGGAGGAAGAGAAAAATTAACCATGCTTCATCAAGTAAGTCCAAGAAGCCTAGGACTGAGCCTGTGGTTCGTAGATCAGGTAGGGCGAGGCAACCCTCTAAGAGATCCCAGAAGATATGATCTTGTATCCTCCATTGTCTTCATTGCTAGTCAATCTTGTACAGTAATTACATATGCTTGTCTAGACTCTCGCACTGCCTGGTGATAAGTTATGACTTGAGTATAAACTGGCTTTCCTCGCTCTATGTACATATATATTGGCCAGCCTGACTCCTACATAGGTAAATGCAGGACGGCCGGTATGCTAGTTTAATACCTGCAAACAGGCCAGCCTGGCTCCTACATAGGTAAATGCAGGACGGCCGGTATGCTAGTTTAATACCTGCAAACAGGCCAGCCTGGCCCCTACATAAGTAAATGCAGGACGGCCGGTATGCTAGTTCAAAACATACAAACTGGCTAGCCTTACCCATACATAGGTAGATGCAGGGCGGCCGGTTTGCTAGATTAAGACCTACATACTGGCCAGCCTGGTTTCTACTGAGGTAGAGATATGGTTGGCCAGTATAATCTTAATCCCACATATTGGGCCACCCCACGTCTGCCTATGTAGAAGAAAGGCTGGCCAGTTACAAATATAGATGTGAAACAGTCAGCATCCTAATACACCAGCAAGCCTTGATATTGGTATACCTACAGCCGGCAGTTGTCTTACATCTACTGGCTGGTCATGCTTTTACAATAGTATGGTAGTGTATTATACATGTGGACTACTACTATACAAGGCCGGCCAGCATGTATTCTACATAGACCGGCCGGGGACTGGCTGGCCATGATTCTACAGGGTTTTGGCACATCCGGGGCACTGGTTCTACATGGGAAATTGACTGAAGTATGTGAGCGCATCTCCTTCCTCAGCACAATACACATTTTCTGCTTCATCCCTCTTCCTAACTCTCCATCTTCACACTTCACACTTCAAACTGTCGACGCCCACCAACACATCAGTGGTACTCGCTGATACGCTCGCTGCACTATCAAGAATCAAGCAAGCTTTCATATTTCATGCACGTGTTTCAAAGTTTATTTCATTTTCGACCAATCGCGCGTCAAAACGACCAACGGTTCTCCCTCATCAAAGCATCTAGAAAAGCATTTATTTGAAGACGAACAAAGGGTCGCAAGAAATGACAGGGAAGCGACGAGACTAGAAGGATAATTTGTACCCGAGCTGCTCACTATGTGCATCTAACATGCATGTGTGATACGTATGCTGCAGCTGTATGGTATCATCTTTGAAAACTTTGAAATAAAAACACGTGACTACAATATCTCTATGGTCCTGATGTCCATCGAGTCTCCAACGGAAACCACGTCCTTGACCTGTCCAATGATATCATGATCTGTCGCAATCCTCTTGTATTCTCCACTGCGCTGCTGCGCCAGCAAAAATGCGCTAAAAGGCTGCCCAAGGCGAACAAGCAGCCGCAATGCTCGTAATTCTAGGTCAGACATCCCCTGTTTTACAGGAGAACAACCAGACCAGTCGTCTGACGGAGAAGGCGGCGTTCCATAATCATCCTCGCCCTCCATATCATTTCCATAGTCAGACGGGTCTACAAATTCAGATAGCTCCAGGAGAGACCGATCCCAGGGACGGACAAGGACAAATTTTCGCTCAGTGGGCCTTGCCGGCCAGAACTGAACCAGGGTCTCTCCAGTGGTGATAAGCAAGTCGTGAAGTTCGTCTGCCTTCACTTCATACGTGAAATGAGTTTCCGGGGCTGGACTACGCATTCGTCTGACTTTCCTGACATTGAATGCAAGACACGGCAGATGCAGTCTCTGTGCTGCGAAGCGAGGGGCGCTCGTGTTCCGAAGCATGGTGTAAATGTTCGAAGCGAAATCAGTAGCCACCATCCTTCGCAGCGAAGAAACCGATGACTGAATTTCTTCCTCGGACAGGGGTGGTAGCTGGCATGGCGGAGCTTCGTACGAAGTGATGGAGGCTGGTAGACAGCTGTTGAACTCTGATGATTCTCCGACCCAATCGAGGCCAGTGATGTCCCCCGACCGAGCCACGATCTCCTGCAGGAGCCGCCCGAGAGCCTTGTCCTGCTTCTCACCATAATCTACAGGTAGGCGGACGCCAAGGACGCCAAACAATGAGTATGAGATGTCTTCCTGACGCGTGGTAACACGGGTTGACGCCCAATGAAGTTTTTCTCGCGCGTTATGCATACTGGGACAGAAGGCCACAACGGCTGGTCGGTCTATTCCCGTCGCGTCCTTTATCTCCTGCATGATTTCGACGGAATCCTTGTGGTTGGGAGAACGATCATTGCGATAAAGAGTCCAGTTGTTCTGATAAAAGAGAATGACATTGGGAGCGATGAACTCCTGAAACGTCCATCCGCGCGTGTTCCAAGCGCTCTTCGCCAGTCTGCCAGACTTTGACGAAGGCGGAACATCAGACAGGTAGACGATCGTGAGCGCGGAATGATGATACCATACGAACATGGAGTTGACCGATTCCTGGACTTCGACATTGTTGCTCTTGTCGATGCAGCATGTATCGCTCCATGCCCAGTTGTAGCCCGCATCACGAGCAGTTTTGCAGAACGACCGCAGCTTCGTCATGCCGCCAACTGAGTCCAAGTCTGAGTCGTACACGCACTTGCCCTGGATATCCTGCAGCAGCGGCTCCTTCCCTTCCCACCTGTGTGATAGCATCGCATATAGCAGGTATCTCTTCACCACTTCTTCGATGTGTTCGATGTGCAAGTCTGCATGCGTGATTGTTGATGACACGAGCTCCTTATACTGCGCGCTGATTTTGAAGGCCCCTATCTGCATTTCTCGATCGCATAAGAGACCGGTGTTGGTGTCAAGTACACGCAGCGGAGCGTTGTCGAGTCGGGCATCAATGACCCGTCGGATGGCGCGTTCTACTTCAGAAGGTCTGAGATATTGCTGGTGCAGCTCTGGAGAAAGAGTAAACATGTCGACGAATGCGTTATCAGAGACTTACTTCGTGTTTGAACATCAGGTGCATTGTCCAATATCGAGAGCATTGTTTGGAAGGTTTCAATCGCTTCATCATAGCGCTCCGCACCATGAAGCGCTGCGTGCTTCAAGTTGTATCCAAGATAAGACAAAGAGTCGAGTTCGATGACCTATGTATCGCTGCAATGAGCACTGGTTGTGGGACAATAGCTCCGATCGCACCTTCTGCGCGTCAAGAAGCGCTTCCATCCATAGCATTTTGCCCAACTTTGCCTTGCTACGCTTTGCGAAGACAACATCAGATGCAGAATTCAAGTTTATTATCGCCGAGTATAGGTCAATAGCCCTGTCATAATCGTTGGCAGCGAGGGCGGAATCTCCGTTGGCAGCACATAGCACGCTACATTGTTGCTTGAATTCTAAGTCAAATGCAGGTGAGTATGATGGCCACAGGTGACATCACTAAAACTCGCCATTGGACCAATCGAGGCAGCTGGTCGTCGCAGTCTCGTCGATGGCGTCCATCATGTATTTGTGTGCGTGGAGAGCTTGATCTGGTTTACCTGCCGAAAGGAATGCCTGGCACCGTTTCTGGTGTGTAGTGAACAGCAAGGACTCGAGATCCCAGCCGAAGAGCTGCACAAAGTACTATGTTATGGAGAGCATTATGTGTGCATCACATCGACGCACCACGGTCAAGTCCTGGTATAGGAAATGAATGTATTTCGATGATAAAGCATCTGAGTTAACAGCGGCAGTGAAGTGATCGGCAGCCTCGTCGTGATGCGCGCCATCAAAAGCTCTGATTCCGAGTTGAACACATAGATATGTCTATTGTGTAAGTTGAAAATATTAGGATTGATGACCGAGTGCGGCCACATGATACTCACTTCCACGACACGACGCGCGAGAGGATCGACACTCGGACAAGCGGCAGCCAGGTCTTCGATGAGCAGCATTGCTTCCTCGTGTTGATCTGCGTTGAAGAGTGCGATGGCCTGGGATACCAGATGAAGCGGATAGCATGTGAGACGAATTAAATGTACCTTGATCAAGAGAAGAAATTGGGTGGTTTCTGAATTTTGGTTCATGAACATCGATGCAACATCGAATGCTATCCTTGCTTCCCGGATGTGACCTTTTCCGCAGAGGGCGATGCCTTTGGAAATAAAGGCAATCAATGATGGCCGAATATTGATTGACTATATCACGGATGAATGTTAGCCTTCCATGAGATGACAATGATGGGTGGTCCATGTCACCTTAATTGCATCCTCAAGGGCGTTGTCCAAGTTGTGCTTCCGGACCATAACGAACGAACGATTGGCATATGCAGTAAAGTCGTTAACATTGGTGTGGGTCTCACGAGTGAGGAGCTCTTCAGCGATAGACAAGTCCCCAGTCAGACATGCATCGCGGGCTGTTGTGATGTCAAGGATCTGTACGAAGGATGCTCGAATTGTATGAGGAGAGTCAGAAATGGAAACTCGCCTTGGAATGAGCGTCCTTTGGTACTGCCCATTCTGAGATCTTGTTATCATAACCTCCGCTGAGGATGTGCTTGCCGTCCACAGAGAACGCGACACATGTCACGGCAGATGAATGCTGGAAGATGGCGATGGTTCGTTGATCTGAGAGCCGCCAGAGACGGACATGCTTGTCATCAGAAGCAGCAGCGACGAGGGTGCCAGCGGGATGAATGGCAATGGCGTTGATATAATCAGTGTGGCCTTCATACGGATGACCGACTTGTTGCCATGTTGATGTGTCCCACTCCAATACGTAATTTTTGCCTCCTGAAAGAAGGTGTGTGCCATCGGGCGTCCATGCGAGTGACATGTTCCATGATTCCGTGTGACCTTTCAAATATGCAATGCGTTCCCTTGCAATGCCCAGTGGGTTATAAATTTCGATATTGGAGCCTGTTGCGATGGCAAGAAGTTCACCAGAAGGCGAATATCGAACGCTTTCGGCATAACCACACTCGATTGGTTCTCCTTGCATCTGCCACGTTTTGGTACACCAAAACTTCACCGTACCATCCGGAGAAAAAGCCACCGAGATAATGACTCTGGAACGGACTTTGATGGGTTGGGCGATGGATTCGCCAGTTTCACCGTGCCAGGCCATGACTTCTCCATTTTCATCACCGCTTGCTATGATTTTACCATCTCGCGATATCGCCAATGCCCGCACCTCACTGCTATGGCCTTCCATCTTCATTAATACAACACCTGTCTCCAAGTCCCAAAGACGAAGTGTCTTGTCTTCCGAGCCAGTCATCATCCGTCGTTTATCGGGGAACACTGCGAATGCGTTTATACCCTTCTCATGATCTTCAAAAGTTCGAATGGGTGTGGTGCTTGGAATGAGCTGTGACATATTACTGGACGTTGATGATGTCGAGCACAGCCGAGGGATTGTGGGTGTCTTTCTCTAAGTTACAGAGGTGCGTGTATTGTGCGTTTTTATATTGCTTCACCACGCTAACCATCCTCGTTTTCATAGACACTCAAGACACGAGGCAGTTTGCCATCACCGTTTCAGCAAGAATATGTTCTCAGCTGGTAATAACCGACTGCACTGGCTACATGCGTCCGATATTTGTCTTCACAATTTCAGGCCTTGCCGAGACATCAAGCGAGTATCACACCTCTCCAATAAACTTTCAAGCTCAAGTCTTGTGTCTCATGGCCGCTCACCTCACGGCTCGCTGTAGACTAGTATAAAGTATCTGCGTATCTATGGTACGTCTTGTAACTTGTCGCGGTCCCACCCTCTAAGGATTTGGAACCAGGGACCCTTAGACTAGATGGATGACGTGAACAAGATTACTATTACATCCATCAGCAAGGATGAACCGCTCGTGGGCAGAAGGGAGTTGTGGAGCTATTGTCGTGAGTTCCGGTCCATATGTATCGACCCTTGTCAAAGCTAAAAGTCAGTGTACTATAATGGTGACAATGTGAGTCGGCCGAATATTATCAGGCCCACTTTGCTTATCTATGTTTGGTATTTATCCTCTGGGCTATACACAAACTCTGTTCCAGTGGCTTGCCACAGCAGCGGGATATGATCCCATCGCAGGCCCTAGCTCGTCATGCCTTGCAACAACTGCTTCTGGCCAATGTGTATTTCCCTGGGGTAGCGGCACAAAGTCGGTTTCTAGCGTGGTGCTAATCGCGAATGTCATCAGTTTCGCCATAATGACAGCCATATATTCACTATCATCGGCTCTATTACTGACTATGGCACGTTCGGACGGTGCTTGCCGTCACAGTAGTATGCTCACCCTTGGCAGCACTTTTTAGTGCTTCCCATGGTCTGTCAGACCCGGTTTTGTGGTAGGACATAACACATCTCTGAGATAACCCTCTCCTAGGAGGGTCTCCCTCAAATCCTCCAGAGTCACCAGAGTACCCTCATAGCCTCGTTGAGAGAGTCTCCCTCCCATCCTCTGGAGTACCCTCATAGGCCTCGTTGAAGGGTTGGCTCTGGTTGTCCGTGGCACGCCATGCTCCTAGAAGAGCCCTCAAGCATGTTATCGTGCCAGTGGATCCCACTGCCCTCAAAATAATATAGAGCCTCTGGTGCTCCTCTCACATGCATTATGTTTTCCTCTTTGTCATATCCGCTGTGTTTCTACTTACACCTATGTCGTCTTATCTCATCACATGTTTTTCTTCGTTGAAATTATATTTATAGTTCGTACTTATGTTATTCTAATAAAATATATTGCACCCCAGTACGGTCATTCTTAATGACGAGGCTCGTGAGGATTGCGGAGAGGGACAACCTCATGTTGAGGTTCCCGTGGGTGATGTATAGGGTCACCCTCATGAGGGTCTCGCTGGACAGCCTCATTGGAGCCTTGCTGGATACCCTCGGGAGGGTTATGATGGACAGGAAGCTCATCACGAGCTTGGTGTGTGGTATCTGGAGGGTCGCGAGGGTCGTGAACGATATGGTGAAGATCCTCCTCAATAGGATTGGTGGTTCGAGCCTCTGAAGGCAAGTCTTCCTGTACTGTTTCCACAGCGACATTATCTAAAGCAGGGGGGACAACACTCTTCACAGCCACATCCATCTTCTTACCCTTGTCCACTTCAGATCCATCTGAGTGGCTGTATGCCATCCGAAGAGCACGTTTCATTGTACCCTTGGATTCCTTGGTGATTGGACGTGGTTTTACTAGAGGGTAGATCAATAGATATTTTACAAGAATGTTTGATTTAGAAAAGAAAAGACTTACCCTTTGTGTGCGCATTAGAAGGACCATCCTGAAGTGACGCTACTGCTGCAGCTATACACCTTGAGTCAACTAGAGTTAAGTTAGAATAAAGGGGGGTACTCACCCCCAGCCTCAGGCTCTGGTGATGCCGCCACACTCGATGACCCCACTGTCAATGGGGACAGAGGGCCACCCTTCATTGGAGAAGTCGTTGAGGTTGGTAAGGCAGGTGCTTTGGGTTGCTTCGAATGTGCAACTTTCCTCCCCACTTTTGACACGTCAGCCTTCTCGTTGGATGAGGCTGGTTTCTTTGATGCATGCGATGTATTCCTAGACTTCAGTTTTCTCTTCTTTCCACGTGCTTCTTCATACTCGCTGTCAGGCTCTGTGGCGACATTCTCTCTGGCCGAAGTAAGTTCAATCACCTCATCATGTGCAGCAGTCGGTTCCGGCTTTGGAACAATTTTGAATTGGTGTGAGGGTGGTCGTGCAACGACTTTAAACGGAGGTGGTATTGGTGGTGGTGCAGTGATTTCTACTCGCATGTTAGCTTTTCGGAACTTACGAACAGGAGGTACCACTGGATGATCATCATCTGAACTGTCATCGTCGTCATCATCAGGTGGCGATGGGGCTTTTGTCACTTTATCGGCCTTTTTGACTTTGGTAGCTGCATTGCTGGGCTTAAGACGAGCTGGGCCGTGGTAGTCTGTGTCACCATTAACAAACAGTCGTCGAGCACCGGCATGTGGCCAGTCAGAGGGAGGCGCTATGCCTGTGATGACCGGCCTTTCGGAGGCCATAACAGATGCTACAAATAATATTAGAATTATAATGTGCTTACAACAACGTAATCGAAACTTACCTCGATGTACCTTGTCAACTTTGACAACTTGCATAGTTCCTGACTTCAATGCCTCCACAAGCACCGCGATTTCTTTCTGGGTCAGTGCCCCAATACCCTTGTTCTTTGAGTTCTCGTTGTGAGCTTCGCCAGGCAAGAGACACCTGTCAGCTGGATACCCTCTAATGCAGAGATTGGCATCAGCAAGCGCGCTGGCCATGCCTTTCCAAGGGAAGTTTTTATCCCAGGCACACTTGCCCCCAAGCTGGGCTAGTGTACATTTAGTTAGATGAACCAAAAGACCAGCAACGTTCCAATGTACCAACTTGTTTGATCAGTTCGAGCTTAATCCACTTCAAACCATCATCACGTCCTTCGGGAGCCTGAGACTGATCGCGACCATTGTTCAAAGTCGAGCGGGGGGTCAATGAGTCGCTGTGGGTATCGTCATGGAACACTTCATCCACCACAGCCAAGGACGTTGTAGAAACAACAATACTGTGAGGAACAAATGATGCTCCAGACTGTATCTGTAAATGTTGTGAGGTCGCGCGTTGCCTAGTCTGCTATACTTGAGACGACAAGTGCGTTCGACCCTAAAGGGGAAGCGAGTGCAGCAAGGATCTAGTAGTGCGCACCGAAGGCGCTACTGGTCGGCTGATGCGAAGCGCGAGAAAGTGCGCAGGTGCGCACGAGGCGCGGGAAAGCGAAGGTACGCGCGAGGCGCGGGAAGCGCGCGCGCGCGTGAGCGGTAATGAGAGAGAGTAAGAGTGAGTTTGCTTAAGGGGTGATTAGATACTAGACAAGAGATACGAGCGCGAGGTGTCAAAGAATAGATTTCTACTATGTTCTCCTAGGTAGTATGTGGGTGGTAAGTGGGAGGTAAAGTTCTTGTTGGAAAGTAAAGTGTCTAATAATATGTACTGCTGGCGCTTATATGGCGCCTAAGCGCTGTCATGCGGAGCCGAAGCGCTACCGAGTAGGTATGCAAAGATATATGTAAGTAAGGGTCCATGGTAAAAATAGAGGTGGAACGATATGTAAATAAGAGAAATGGGAATATACGCACTAGAGAGCTTGGTGGACAGTGGATGGATGCTTCTGGATGGCTGGCGCTATAGGGCGCTCAAGCGCGGGAAAGCGCGCGCGCGTATACATTGTAAAGCGCGGGAAGTCGTGCGCGCATGCTGCGCATTGCGTGGGAAAGCTGCGCCTCGTAAGGGAATAGCTGTGGATAGCACACAGAGTGATGCTGCAAGTCGTGCTGTGTACTCCCTAGTGGAAAGTGCCATATCACACAATGCGAGGCACGAGTCTCTACAACGTGCTATTGCTATTTGGAGACACGGCGTCAGTTGTAGCATAAATGTAGTCATATTCATACTTACTATACATGTGCTTTAAGATGTCCGATGATGGCATCATCACTGGCTCGGCATTGTGTCTGCCAGAACTACATCTTGCTAAGTATATGTAAGGATTTAGACGACAAATAATCTTACCCCTGCAGCACCCGGCGTACTATACGAGTGACCAAGTGATCCGTCTTCATTGACCACTTTGCCACATAAGACAACGGCTGCTTCAAAGCCACACTTAGCGGAAGCAGAGTCAAGCTAAGATAACAATATGAGGCGATGATGAAACTTCGGGTGAGATAACATACAATCTGTATTACTCTTCGATAATGCTTCTGGAATCCCTGTCCACGCTGAGCTATTGTTTGAGTAGACGATCCAAGGAGTAACGCCTCCTCGTGCATTAACAGAAGGTCTTGATAAGAATCGGGATAGGCCTCTTTGAATTTGTCATAACATTGAGTGCGCACGGTTGCACCTGTAAGAAATATAAACCTCCTGTGCAACAAGACGTAATATGATAACTCACTAGGTGTGCCACCTCCGGCTGGGGCCTCTCGGCCAATACGTGCAAGTTCCGTCTTGATATGCTCCTTGAAGTAGTTGGCGTACAAGTTCCAATAGTTGGTACCATTCACGGTGCGTCCACGACTCTTCAAGAACAAGTTAATCAACTGTGAAACAGGAAGCGTAGTAGATGTCGAGAGGTCGAGAAAGCAGCGCTCGACTGCAGCAAACCCTACATCGAGTGCTGTGTTCAGTTCTGCGGACCTACGCCCGGTAACAGTATGCCCCTCTTGATGGGTCACTGGCTCATGCTCTTCGGGAAAGCGTTGATGAAAAGCAGTGGCCACACCAATGGAATTCGTCGAGGTGGAAGTGTTAGTCTGGAATGGTGTTGGTGGAATTATGTTTGTTGCTGGGAGGGGAGGTGCATGATCTTGAGGCGATGATGACGGAACAGGCCTAAGGATGAATGGTGCGACTTCGCCTGAAAAATCCTGCGTAAATCCTGAAGGTGTTTGGCCTGTAGTGTGAGGCTCTAGGGAACATGCACGAGAAGCCATTGTTTGACCTGACGAACTTGCAGGAAAA